CCCGCCGCAGCAGGCCGAGGAGGCCCCCCCCCGAGAAGATTTAGTATTAAAAATAACGATGAGTTCATGCACACATTGATTCATACATTCATCAGGTAGTTAAAATCCTATGTTTTCTACTTCCTATGTACTAAAACAGCCCTGTGCAAAGAACTTGCGTCAGTTTGTCCACCCGCCGCAGCAGGCCGAGGAGCCCCCCCCCCCCCCCGAGAAGACCCCGGGGGGGCAGGCCTGGCGCCGCGCGGCGCCGGCGCCCCTGCCGCGGCCCCCCTCGCCGCCGCCGCCGCCGGCGGGCGCGCGGCAGAGGGTGGGCGCCGCCGCCCGCGGGGGCCGAGGGGGCGAGGGAGCGAGGAAGCGAGGAGGAGCGAGGGAGCGAGGAGGAGGAGCGAGGAGGAGGAGGAGGAGGAGGAGGAGCGAGGAGCGAGGAGGAGGAGGAGCGAGGAGGAGGAGCGAGGAGCGAGGAGGAGCGAGGAGGAGGAGCGAGGAGGAGGAGCGAGGAGGACGAGGAGGAGCGAGGAGGCGGAGCGAGGAGCGAGGAGGAGCGAGGTTGCCGGGGCCACCAGGGCACGATGTCCAATGGCCCATAGGCCTGGCCCTGGGTGCCCGGAAGCGGCCGGGGCGCGGCTCGCCAACCGAAGCCCGCGGCTCCGTGTCTGACGGGGGCGTCCTCCCAGGCGCGCCGTGCCAAGGCTTGGCCCGGGCGGGAATCTCCGCCGAGCCCGTCCGTCTCGACGGCGCGCGAAGACGAGTTCTGAGCGGTGCCCCAGCAAGGCAGGCTCCGCGCGCATCGGCGCGCGAGGCAGCACCGCCGAGCAAGGGCACCCCATGCCGCGGGCAACCAGTCCACCAAGCCATCGGCTTGGTCTACCGAGGGCCCAACGCCACGGCACTGGCCAGACTCAAAGTAACCAGCCCCCAGGGGAGGGTGGACCCGCCAAAAGCCAACCGCGGCCAACCGGCAGCCAGCGGACGCCGTGGACGCGAGCGCGAAGCGCCCCGCCCGCCGCGGCAACAAAGGAGAGCCGCGAGCAGCCACGAAGGGCGCAAGAACGACAAAGCGAGGGGGCCCAATGGGGAACCTGTGCAGATGCCACCTGAGGAGAGGCCGCTGGGTCCCTGGCGGTAAGTCGCGGCACGGGCAGTTCTCGACGGAGCAACTGCCGAACATGCCAATGAGGCCGCCAGCTCGTCCCACGACACCAGCAACGACGACGTGGATGTCGAACAGCTAGTGGAAGAGCACCAGCTCGATCATACGACACGGACATACCACGTCTCAAACTGGGAAGTCAGAGACATACCAGGCGCGGCGCGCGCACCTGGATGGACGCCACATGACACAAACCTTGGACAACCACCAATCGCACGACGGCTTTTACCTTCCGTGGACTTCCACTAACCAGGGGTACAACGCCAAACAACATCCCCACTTGCAGGGGTGAGTGCTCTTCAATGTTAACGGCAACATACGCGTGGCCAGCGAGAACCACCCCGATACTAACCGCGAGGTGCTTCTCGACATTGGCAACAGCAGCCCAATTCTATGGCCATGGAGCCTCAAGAACCACATGATCTGCCCCTCACTAACCACTCCCCAAGACGTCCTTCCAGGACGACGGGTCTGCACCAGCGCCAACTGCGCCTTCAATGCCTGCCCATTCTGTGCCTACTATCGTTGCTACAGCCAGGCCAGGCGCCTGCGCGGCTTCCGCTGCGCCCGGCGCAAGTCGCCCGTGCAGCAGCGAGGAGGCAGCCCCGCCAATCAGAGTGAACGCCGACCAGGGAGTCAGACCCGGAGCTTACGACAGCTGCGACAGCAAGGGGCCGTTTCTTCCCGCGCTCCTGCCCAGCCGGGCTTCACGCGCATAGCAGGGCGACTGCGAGGCAGCGGCGGAGCCGCCAGACAACGCCAACGCGCCGAGGCCGCCAGGCCCGAGGGCGCGAGCGGGCAGCCAAGCTAGCGCCGAGCAGCCACCCCGAGGGAATAGCTCGCTTACGAGCCAGAGCGGCCACTCTTCAAGACGGGAGGAGCGGCTATCTCCTATCCCGACCGCGACCACTTGAAGAACGCTGGGTTTTTCGGAAGCTCGCGAGACAGCCCTGGAGGCGCGGGCGTCTTCGCGGGCCTTGCCGAGGAACGGGGGGGAACCGCCCCAGCGCAGCGCGCCACGGAGCTCTTGGCCAGGTGGGCTCACGAAGACGAAGCCAGATGGGCCAACGCCGAACTCTTTTGGCGGGGGAAGCGTTGCACCCTCAGTCTCTTATTTTCGATGTCCTGTCAGGGTCCAATAGAACGGCCGAGGCGCCGCCCGGCCGAGAAGACTCGAGGGCCCCAGTAGCTCCGCTTTGTCGCCCCAGCGGCCCGGTCCTTGGCCCGCAGACACGGGGCCAAGGTGCGCTCGAGATGCCGACCTGCAGGAGCCGCGCAGGGCTAAGACAGGGCTCTTGCACCCTGACTACTCGTCACCAGACGGGGAAGAGATGGCCCGAGAGCGAGCGCAGCTCGCGCCCGGGCAACCAAGCCACCCGCCACCAGGCGAGGCTGGCGCAGGGAGCACAAGGTGAAAAGACACGGCCACGCCCTGCACAAGAGGTCCTCCTACGTCGAAAAGCCAAAGGGAATTGGGGCTAGCTCGATTGGGAGCAGTCACCACCAGTGCAAAGGCACTGGGGCCGAGACTCCACGAGTCGCAAGGAGGGGCTGCGTCTTCCGACTAGCCGCTTCGGTCGCCGAGGAGGGCTGCGCCGCCCAGGCCAGCGCCGCCCAGCGCGGTCACCAAAAGCGCGCCCCAACGGACGATCCACAAGACATGCCCCATACGGCCCATGCATAGGTGCCAGCCAGCTCAAGGGCCAAACCAGCTGCGACCGGCACCAGAGACAATGCTCAGCTGAACACATTCAGCCCCGAGCACGCCGCCGAGCTGGCGAAGCGCCGCGGGCCCGAAGCCCCGCCGCCTCGAGCACCGCCACGGAGCGTGACGCCAAGGCTCGCGCCTCAGGCGTCGCCCGCCCAGGCCTTCTTTACTTCGGGGCAGCTGGGGAGGCGGGGGCGGCGCCCCTCGCAGACGGAGGAAGCCGCGCGAAGGCGCCAGGAGGCATCACCCCGCCCAGCGCGGCACCGAGCTCCGCTGCCCATGCCAGCCAGCAGCGCCAGGTGTGCCGCCCGAGGGTGCAGCAGCCCGAGCACCCGCCCGACGGCTGCAGCGAGAGCCCACCTCTCGGGGGCCCCAGGGCGCACCAGCACGCCCGCAGGCCCCCCCTGGCCACAGCGGGCCGCCCTATTGGCTCCCGTCGCGGCCCCGTCCGGGCGCCCCGCCAGCGCCTGCAACCAGTGAGGCCGCCGCGCCAGCTCGTGCGCCGCCCAGCCCGCCCAGCCGGGCCCGCGGTCCACCGCAACCCCTCGAGTCATGGAAAAATCACGACGGGAGGGTTTTCCCTATTTTTGGCCTTTGGGGGCCCTTACCGGCCCTCGGGACCGTCAAAAAACGACTCAGGACGAAAAACCGGTCCCGGGGAATGGGTCGAGACTTCGGGGGGTCGACGTCATGAAAAAATCATGACGTCGGGGGTCTGGGACTACCGCCACCGAGCCAGGGGTTGGACAGCCTAGGCAGCAGTGGGCCGCCAGGCGAGGCCGGGATCCACCCGGATCGAGGCCCACGCGAGGGCGGCCTCGAAGTTGCGCGCGTGGGCTTCGATCGACGGCAACAGCAGCATCAACGACAGCGGCGGGCCGAGGCGGCCGACCAGGCCGGCGCAGGCGCGGCGCCGTGCGCGGGAGCTGCCGCGCCTGAGCGCTGCTACATGCGCGACCGCCGTCTTGCTTTTTCTTGCAGTCTTGACGACGGCGGCGATTCCCCCCTCAGTCGCGCGCGCACCGCTGCCGCCCTCGCGTTTGCCGCCGCCGCTTCGCCCCTCCCTCGGGGCTCACTTTTTTCTGTATGGTGGGATATGTCATCACCCCCTTGCCTGGCGGAATTGCCGGGACCCCAGCAGCAATCTGCTCCTTGAGGAGAGCCGCGCCAGGGACCACATCCACCAGGCCCCAACATTGCGGCGACACCGAAAAGCCAGAGGTGGCCCCAGCTCAACTGGCGGAGACGGCCCACATATGACCCGCCTCGTCAGCGCCAGTGTCAACAGCCTTGACGCCAATAGGGATATCACCCAGCTGCGGGAGCACTTTGAGGCCACTACCCTTTCTCCCCAAGGAACCCGTCATCCCGCCGACTGCATTCACACTTTCAGAAGAAGCATCCGCGCACCAGAAACGGAGCACGACGACCCGCATGGGTTCGCAGGCCCGCTTGCGATTACTTCCCACCCAAAGGGCACGGGGGTGACGCAGATCGCAGAGTCCGCTCAACGACTGCCAAGCATGGGTGGGTGCATCGCTGCGCGAGGAGCGCTAGGGCGACCCAGCTCTCGCCGCCCCCCTCGCGACCACGCGGTGGACAGAAGCCTTCTACCCTGTCCTTGCCCCGACCACCGCCACGAGGCGGAAGGGGTACAGCGGACAAAGTGCCCTCGCTGAAAGCATAGACCTTGCTTCAATGCCGAATTGAGCCGACGGTGGCGCCCAGTTCCAGCAGGTCTGGGGGGCTTCCAACATGCTTGGTGGCGCGCCGTACTTCAGGGTCCTCCTCCTCCTCCTCCTCCTCCACGTCCTCCTCCTCCTCCTCCTCCTCCTCCTCCTTCTTCTTCTCCCATCCCTGAGGGGCGGTCCCCCGCGGAGTCACATCCTTGCAACACCTCGTACACGAAGTACATGTGCGGTCCCACCGCCAGGCGCCCACGATGGATATGGCCAGGAACGCGACCTCGCCAGCGCTGCACGCGCCAGATGGCCGCAGCCTGGCCGCAGCCCTCCAGAACAGCATCATGGGCCTCCCTCACGGTGCGGAGGCACACCACACGTGAGGAGAGTACCCTCGACCAAGTCCCATGCCGCCTCCTCGTCCGATGGCACATCTGGGTAGCGCTCGGGGGGCACGAGCATGGCGACCAAGAAAGGATCCATCGGCCACTGCATGGTCCCCGCACCTCTCAGCGCTGGCTGCGCCTCCAGAAAAGCCTCGCCCAGCAACTCGAGGAAGGGCCTAGGCAAGGCCAAGCAATCCACCTCCAGCGCAGCTGCGGGCCTCGCCACCAGGCCACGCAGTCGCATGGCCCCCGAGAGGTGCGGGCAGTGCACGGACAGGGCCTGGCCGAAGGAAGACAGCGATCCCCCGAAGTCGGCCACATCGAAGGACACTGCAGAGGCCTCTGGGAGAGCGGCGATCGCCTTCACCGACTCGAGCTGCCAGATCGACGCCACACGATGTGCTACGCAAGCCTGGTGCACCAGTACTCCAGCTACTCCTGCCGCCGCTGCAGCAGCCAAGAATAGTAGGCCAGCTCTGATGGCACCATTTTCCTTTCGCAACTGCTTCGCCCAGAACCTGTTCAGGAGGTCCGCTCCCCACAGTTGGTCTCGCGGCCTCACAGGGGAGCTCTGCGATCCAGAACTATTCAACGTAGCTGTCCAAGATGATGTCGGCGGTGTCACTAGGACACCCAGAATGGCACCTGACTGAATCCTTGCAGTAATGTTGTCTAAAAAGGTCGAATCCTCCAGCTTCAATGACATTGATGGTTCGCTGCAATCAATATATAACACAGTACAGTTGAAAAAACCAGTGGCAGAACCCATAATACAACTGAAATCGTCGTCAGCTCTGGGTCCCCAGCCAATGTGCAACAGATAGGCTTGTCGATGGGCTCGCTCCGCAGGTGCTGGTGGCAATGATGGGGCTGGGACCCATTCCACACACGGGGGCCTCGGGCGCTCGTCAACCACAGCAGCTTGCCTCTTACCAGGTAGTGCTGGTCGTGTTGGCGCAGTCGCCCGAAGCCCACGCGTGCGTTTGTCCACCGCAGCCTGCTGGTCCAGACGCTGCCATGCTGCAACTGCTTCGTGGTCCAGAGGATTGGTGGATGCCATAATGTGGCCAAGACATGCTCCAGTCGGCCGCCTGAGATGCCTGAGCAAACCTGATCGATCCGAAAAACTGGCGCCACAGCATAAGCAATCCACACCGTCAGCATAGTACTGGGCCATGTCGTTTGGCTGGTGCACACGAGTCCAGTGACCTCGGTACCCAGCAACAGTTTGGAAGACCTGATCGCACTCATAGCAGAAGTAGCTTGTTCCCGAATGTCCGTCATCAGTACTTGTGATCAGCCCAGGATAAGCCAACAGAATCTTACGGAAGATGAAGGTGTCCCTGTGCTGATCCATTCGCTGCGCTGAAAAGCTCGTCCAGGCACTGCGCAAGTGTCTATGAAATCCTCTGAGATCTTTCGCAACATATCTCATCCATGAAGCAATGCCTGGAATATTCCTCGGGCAGTCGTCTGGGGCATCGTGACAAAACCTTTTGAGCCACAGAAAATCCTCCACTACAAGTGATGCCCATGACGATGAGGTACCCAGCGTTGCATCCAAGATCAACCGCAATGTAGGAGATCCTGCGTGTACCAGCCGTGCCACGTATCGCAGCCGTCGGAAGCGTAAAACATCACAAAAATCCATCCTGTTGGCGATAACTAATACTTCCGAATCTGTGGTGCGCCCGACAGTGAGCAGGCTGTGCAATTTCCTGGTTCCCACACGGTACCCTGATAGCAACGCATGGTTCAACTTGGTCGTGCACGACGCCGAAATCTTGTCCCAAGTCTCCGCCTGAAAAAAACAAATGCGTGCTGCACAGTGCGTCGATGTACTTGAGCTTGTCCTTTGTGGCAATCTCGTACTTGATAACCGATGCCCTCAAGGGGCGCAGTGCCGTAGAGTGCTTATTTTTCCTCCTAGCTACCTCCTGTGCCGTGCTCCCGTCGCCGGTGTAGATGCCACCTACATGCTTGTACGCCTGCTCAAGGACAATACGATCGTTCGATGTGCTATCTAACGCAATGGCTGAAAACCTGGCCATGGTCCTCTTCGCGTTCAGGGAGCCCTCGCCGTTGTAGGAAATAACTGCGGCCGTCTTGCCCTTCCCGAAGTGAAGTTGAAAGCCTGACCCCAGCATGTGCTTCCTCACAATCCTGCCGAGCAGTGATACTTGATCACGAACTGCTGTGGGGTCGTAACATGGAGAGCAAAAACCAGAATCATCGACGAAGGTAGAGTCCGTGAACGTGTCATTCTCCACTGCGAGGCCTTGAGAAAATACCTGCTCGGATACATCAATACAATCTTTGAGGTCTAATGTAATACCAGCCTGCTGCATATCAAGTTTGATTCCTCTCAGTGGTCGGGCATACACGACATTGAAGAAGAAGTCGGCTAGGGGGTTGCCCGCCCGAGAGCTCCTTTGTGAGACAATCCACTGCGTATCCCCTGGCACCCTGAAGTGGGTGAGCCGATGCGCCTCGATCACTTGCGCCACCAGATGCTGGTCAACCCTGGAGTCGACCAGCACTGGCGCCGCTAGAACAACTTCCAGCAGCGGGCGTGCCAGCGCGGGTGCATTGTCTAGGACTTGATTGATGTAGTTCTCAGTCCCCTTGAGTGGGATCCCAGCCTGACGCAACAGCGAATAGAAGGCGGCCACCAAATCCACGAACAATACTATCGCAATAAACTTCCTGGCCTTGGCAATATGTCTGAAAACTCTCACCATCTGAGAAGCCATACCAGCACAGCGGCCCTTGATACCTCCAGTCTGCGAGTCAACCATGAGTATCTTGATGCAGTCCGTCATGGCTGCTCGAAGGAACGCGTGGTGATGCTTGATGACGTCCGAGTTCAGCATGACCGAACGGTACATTTCAGCAGTCATCCTGCCGCTCTTGCCCTTGTGGAGTCCGCACGCAAGTCCTGCTTTGTGCATGGCCGCCTCCTGCACCAGAAGCCCAGTCTTAGCTGTGATCGCTAGAACATGCGGCAGAACAGCCTCAGGTGCAGCTTTGAGGACAGCGTTCTGAACTAAATCATGGCCAGGTGCGCGGTGGGCTTTGACCCCCCTCAATCTGGTGGCAAGCCAAGTCGGAGACGGAATCGCTGAGATAGACCGTGGGAAGCCAAGAGCATGATTCAAAGTTAACTGGTTGTACTCAGTTTGCAGCTCCGATGCAGTACGCTCGTATCCGTCCTCAAGTTGGGCAAAGTGTCGTCTCAGGGCCTCGGCCCATTCCAGCTCGGAGGTGATGACAGAACCGTCTTGCTTGAATCGCTGGGGAAGGAGATTGTGGTCGCATCGCTTAGCCTGCTTGCCATTGAACCGCAATAACCTCTGGAGCCAAACCCATTCATGGTGTCCGTCGTGTAGTAACGCCAATTCGCCAATCTTCTTGGCGGTCTGCGTAAGAAAATCTTTCCTGTCTCCGTTCAGGCACCATGTAAGTGTACGAGCAGTTGTGTCCATGAAGCATCGGGCAGCAGCGAGCATTTCTTCGATCGTGAACTCCTCGGCCTGAAATAAATCACACGCCATGGCAAGCTGGCGCATAGGGCCTTCCCAGGGACACTGGGAAGACTCATCCAGGCCCCGACTTGCGTATACGAAGGTGTCCAATTGCCTTGGCAGGAGCCTGGCCAGCAGAAAGATGGGCTCCCACGAATGTCTAAAGACCGCCTGCTGTGCACGCCTTATGTACCTGCGTAGTCTGATAAGCGACATAGTGCCTGTCTTAATGTAAGGCTTCCTAGGAGAGAAACGGTCCTCGGCAAACAACTCAGCCGTGAGCTGGTTGATCTTGCAATTGAAGTGGTCGGCCTGCATATTGATGTCCATCGTCCACGGTGCCACTGGCATATCTAGGAGAGTTTGTCGGAATTTGTTTTGCCTGATAGGATCTGCCAATTTCTGCCTGTCGAGCCTCTTTCTCCCAGCTTCAGGTGTTGTGTAGTATTTTGCAGCCTCTATGGTGACAACAACTGGCCAGTGATCAGGGGATTTGCCACCAAAATCCAAGTCGGTCATGACATAACAGGTCTTCGCACAGTCATGGATGCTGTCCTGCAAAACGATGTAGTCCAGCCGATGTAGTGACCCGCACTTCGCTCGACAAGTTTCAGGATGCACGTGTGGGATGAGCGTGTTCGTGATCTTCATGCTGTACTGATTGCAAATCTTCTGGAGCTCAGATCCATTGAAGTCTAGTGAATCATTTGGCCCGACGCTTCCTGACACATCTGTGACCTCACTGCCCATGCGAGCGTTCGCATCTGCCATAATAATAGTCGGTGGGTGTCGGTCCATAATACCTCGTACTTCTTGCCACCAATTGCGAACGTGCTGAGGAGGGTCCATGGTCCCGCGTTTGTGATGTGGGGCATGGATAACTGCGACTGTATGCACCATCATGGGTGCCTGTATCTGAACAAGAAGAAATCTTTCCACTGCGTGTATAACATGGACGTGCTTGGTCGCCAACTTAAGTGGTCCCTTCTTCCCTCGTGCATAACCAAGCTCAAGGTTGACCAAAAGTGTACACCCAAGCCCTTTGGAGTCCGAGCCAGAGTTGACCACCAGGAAGCCATCGGACTCGAACTTACCAGCAGGATGTGATGTCTCCTGGATACCTGCCAATAGCACAGAATCATCTTTGAGTTGTAGCCGAAGATGTCTTGTGCGGGCTCTACGTTCCTCATGTCGGGCAAAATTATGAACAGACTTATCAGGAACTTCATTATCATCACCAGAGCAAATCGTGACATTGTTGAAGGTCGCAACCTTATACTTAATACAAGTAGGTGCACGCAGGACTGCCATTTCGCCTTCTCCGTGATCATCCTTCTGCAGTAACTTCTGTTTGTGCACCTCAAAGTGAAAACCATCTTCCAAGAAGCATGGATATGGTGATGTCCTCGAATCTAGGAATCTGATGAATTGCCACTCAGCATCTACCGTATACTTCAGCGCTTGACGTGGAACCTGCGGTAGGTCTGGTGGCACGTTGGATTCTTTAGTAAAATGCCTGGATATAGAGTCGACTGCTTCATTCCATGGGTAGTCCTGGTGACCTGGTTCCTGCACCACTGATAGTGGACGCACGCGCTGTACGTCACCAAGGACAGTGGCCGCCATCTTGTCCAATTCAGAAACCAAGCGCACACGACTCAAAGCCTTGTCGACCGCCGCCATATTGTCGCAGATGATGTACACCTGCTCATCTAAGGGCAACTGGAGAGAGAAGATAGCCGCCCAGACAACGCCTAAGAGTTCAACCTCGGTGCTGTGGGTCTGCTCGGCCATGTTGTCGAAGGAGTGAGATGTCGCCGCTCGTGCCGCCACATAGCCCTGGCACGCAAACCCCGTGGAGTCCTGCATGGCGCGGGCCAGCGCGAACGCCGCCAGCTCGGGAGACTTGGAGTACAGAGATGCGTCTGTATAGACGTGATGCGTGGCCTGGCCCGTACTTGGACGGGGAGGGTGCGTACGCAGAGCCAAGTCAGCAAACGGATGCAGGAGCATACCTCGATAGTCCCAAGAGAGCTGTAGCCTCCACTGTATTTGATCAAACAACTCTGGTAATGTTGGGACATGCTTAACTTGACAATTGGCTGCCGTAGCTGGCTGCGAAGCTGTACGATCAACATGCACGTTGGGGCTGTCGATCTCCATGCCAGCATGGTGCTGTGGGACCACAGCACTAACCCCCGCCAAATCGCCTACCTGAAATGAATTCGGTGAATTCTCGTTGTGGCCGAACATGCAGTTGTAGATGTCGACCTTAAATGCTCCTCTCGCTCCGCCCGATGGCGCTGGAGAGGACGACTGCGCCGAAGGCAGGCACCCCAAAGCCTCTTGGCAGTGCCTTTGATGGCCTGGCGGTCGGTACCCTCTGGCGCACATGCGCTGGCTCGATGGAGGCGCTGGGCAGTGCGTGCCGAGGGCCGCGGCCGACGGTCGGTACCCCCTGGCGCCCCTTTGAGCAGCTTGGTGCGCTGAGCAGTGCGTGCCGCTAGGCTCATGAGTGAATTCGAAGCTAAGCATGCTTGACGGACTAGAGCGGTCAATACTCACACCTTCACCCGCTGCTTCATGAAGATGTGAACTGCTTGAATTCCCACCGACGGAGTCCCCAATCTCGTCGATGTAGGTGTGCAACTCCAGCGCTGGGGCAAAGTGCACAGCGCGCTGGTGCCGCACATCTGGAGATCCAGCTGATGCTAGCCTCCTCCGTGTGCCACGCCTGGGATGTGAAAACCTGCCTCTCGACGTACCTCCTCTGAGTTG